CCTCCCCCACCCATTTGTTGGTTTGTTTCTTTCTCTCCTTCCATGAAGTTATTAGACCAACAGTTAGACTTACGTCATCTTCATCCATTCTACAAGCAGGGAGAGGACAGGCAGGAGCGAAGCAAAGTAGAGATGGGAGCACACAGCACCGCTGGCGGGAGCGGAAGGCACATGAAGGGGTTGGCGGTGAGAGTGTGGAGGAGGCCACAGCACGGAGTCTCACCTGCTCTGGGGGTGGGTGGACTGAAGGCGCATGGCGGTCTAAGGCCAAAGGACCAAATAGTGGAACTACTACTAACTGTTCTCTCAAACCAGGCACTCAACCTTTCTGAGCCTCAGTTTCTCCGTTTTATTATTTAACAAACACTTGTGCAAATATTAACTCATTGATTCCTTCCACCAACCCTATGAGGAATGTTCTCTGAGAGGAATATTCCCTCCATTTACAAGTGCGAAGCTGACGCCCAGAGAGGCTGAGTAATGTGTCAAGGTCCAGAGCCTGTAAGCAGTGGAGCCAGAATTTGAACCTGGGCCCTTTAGTTCCTGAGTTCATGCTCTCCCTGAAGTGTGGAGAGGAGCAATTCCTACCTCTAACCATCACGCACAAGGTCAAATGAGATGATGTTTATGAAGTACGTTGTGTGCTGCACAGTGTTTTGCAAATACTGATAACAGTTACTAATAGTTAGACGGCACTCAAAGGTGTGGGGAGAGGAATGGACCACAGGCCGAGCCTTGGGGAGTGTCTGTGCTGAGGAGCAGGAGCTTGTCTTGGGGAGAGATTTGACAAGAGTCAGCGCTGATGTCCTTGCGGATGTGGTGGTACCGTCAGTGGTAGGGTCTGTAGGAACGCTGGCCTCCAGGCTTCCAGCCCCTGCACAGGACGCAGGGCAGCCAGGTGCTCACACGGAGACTGTATGTGCAGAGGGACCGCAGCCTGGCGTCTCCCACTGGCAAACCGAGAACTCAGACGGACCACAAGGCCACTGGGCTCTGACTCTCGCCTCCTTTCCCTCCTCTGGTGCATGCAGCTCAGCCCTGCTCCCCGTCAGAGTGAGAGGCTTTGAAACAAGACTTTCCTAGGTTGTGATGCCTTCGTGGGGACAAGAGCAAAGCACTGTGCACTGTCCCAGACCCTGGGTTGGCTGGCTGGCCGTCGGTCTTTAGCTCAGCATTCGCGGGAGTGCCAGGGTGGGATGGGGAGGGGAGAGGGGGCACCCAGGGTCCTGTGATCTCTTTCTGGCACCGAGCGAGCTGTGTGGCCCGGTTTGTGGGTGGAGTGGGGGCAGGGGTTCGCTCTTTATCTTAGTGCCAAACAGGGTGGTTATTAGAACCTTCTTCCCAACTCCACCCCTGCCCCCCAAGCTGGTGAGTGATGTGCATAAAGTGCTTTGAGGTGCTGAGATGAAGAGCCCTGAGAGTGAGACCAAAATAGCATCACAGTGACCTCACCTGGGCCCTTTGAAGTGGTGCTGAGGAGTATTTCCTCGCCCCAGGGCTGTTCACTCCGCTATGCACCTCCCTGTTGGCCCCTGAGCTGGTTCCTCAAACCCAGGTCCTTTGGCTTCTACACTTAACCCCCAGGCCTCGCTGTGGATCTGACACATGCAGGCGACGGCTATGAGCAGGAAAAGTCCGCTGTAAGTCAAGGAAAACCCAAGAGTTCTAGGTCAGATAGGAGGTGAGCCGCAAAGTATCTGACTGACACAATTAAATAAGAGGGGAGAAATCCACCCTTATGTTGTAGTCATTCTGTCCTCACACACCAGGCTTTTCTAGAAGTATTTCTAGGGAATTAATCACCATGCAAACCAATTTATAAAACAATGGATACCCGTCTCAGTATTCCATAGTGTTGTCTTTCGTTTGGTTTTTTTTTAACCCACACAATGGTATTAATCTCATTTGGGTGACAGGTTTGGCTTTGATGACTCGATGCTACTAGCAGTCCTTGCTCCAGCGGACAGCTTGCTCCCTGGGAGTGATTGGTCAAGAAGACTGGAGGCAGTTCCCAGAGAGGAGGGACCGCAGTACACTGAGGCGAGACAGTGCTGGCATGCCCAGCCTTCCTTGGGAGGGAAGGATTTCTGATGCTCGCATGAAACTGCAATCGAGTTCCAATCATGTTGTTTCTCCAAGCTGGAGCTGGGGGATTATCTGGTCAGGGCAGGACGGAGTGAGTGTGGGAGTGGAACACCCTTGTGTCTGGCAACAGAACTGGCCAGGAGAGTGGAAATGTGAGTCACTCTTGAATTTGCTTCGTTCGATGGGCCCTGGCTTGTCAGGCCCCCGGTACGCTGGCTGCCTGCCTGGGCGCCTTCACGGGCTGGGGCATTCCAACCCCTCTCTTGTTCTTTAAAAGTACACCCCTGGGGATTTGCTGGGGCTTGTGCCCTCCCCACTCCAGGCTCCTGGCAGGGGCTGGGGTGTGGGTTTCCCTGGGGGGCAGGTCTTTGTCCCACCTCCCCCTCGGCTCCTGCAAGGACCCCAGGACTGCAGCCAGCCCGCGGCTGTGATCTCACAGTTCACCGGTGTGCCTGCTAATACGGCCCCTGGAGAGCAGCCGGGCCCAGGAGTACTTCATTCCTTCTTTACAGTAAAGTTCTGCATCCAATTTTTATCCTTTTCGTGTTTACTTTATAATGTTAACAATCACGTTTGACTTAACAATGACATGGTTTTGCAGGTTAGTCATTCATCAACTCATAATTCTTGAGTTACGCACTGTGCCAGGCACTTGTCCAGGTGCTGGGGAAACAGCCATGACCAAGGAAGGCTTCTGGACCAAGACTAACTTAGGCTATGTTTACTCTAATCACACCTCTAAGAGCTTCCATTTTTCTTAGTGTTTTAATTTTATTTTGCTTTAAAAGCTCCTATCCATTTTTTGTTCCACCTATTCATGAATTCATTGGTTGATTCTTGTATGTGCCCTGACGGGGATCGAACCTGCAACCTTGGCGTATCATGACGATGGTCTAGCCATGTGAGTACCCAGCCAGGGCTCTCAAAGTCTGTTTTCTTAGCCACTGTGTTATCACGTGTGCAGTTAAGAGTAACAGGCTTATGTAGGGCCTCGGTTTGAGACACCAATTAATCACTTACATATAAGAGTTAACAAAATCTACAACTCACAAAATAAAGACAAAACCCACAATGACCTCCCAAAGACAGACATAGGAGGCTTACCTATAAAGAGTAGTCGTGGCACAAAGCTGGAGTAACCTAGCACATTGCATCACTGAATCAAAATTCAGAATACTTTAGCAGCCTGGATATACTGGCCAAAATGCACAAAATAAAATTTAATAGAAGTAATGTTTTGTGTTTAGGCTTAAAAACATTGATTTCATAGTTTCAGTTTTGGGGGTGCCTACCTTCACAGAAATTCGGATGTGTGTACGCGTTGGGTTTTAGTTGAGCTCACACTGACATAAGCTCATTAACCCCGACAGGCTGATACACTTGCTAAAGGAAAACACTTCTTTGAGATTATCCTGATCATGGAGGAAATTGCCCCTTGGCCCTCGACACTCACCCACCACATCCAGGATGGTGTGTGCAGGATTGGGGACCACAAGTCGAGAGGGTCACAGACATCCATGAGCAGGTCCCCAGCAGGAGTCTGAGTTAGGGGCGGCCTGGACGGCATCTCGGGATCTGATGACTTTATCTGGAGAAGGGAAAGAAGTAACTTGTGGTGTGTTCCGAGGCTGTCAAATGCCGGAGAGACCGGGATTATTGGGTCCTGCTCAAGCGAGCGGGCCTGGGACCCCTGGTCGTGACCCACAGCGGCCGGGCCCCCCCTGAAGGGAATCTTTGTAATTAGAACTGCTGGTGAGGCCAGGCCTGCCTCCCATACCAGCAGCTCCCTGTGGCCAGAGGTGTTTGGTGGAGGTGTGGGTCAGCCGGAGGGGCCCGGCTGTGAGAGGCGGTCGGCACCGGCTCTTCCTGTCTGGCTCATGCAAAGCAGTCTCTCCTTTCTTTCTGGTGTCTTCTGTTGGTGGGGAGCCAGAGCAGGT